CTCGAACTGATTTTTGCTCGCTGCGACTTTGCTTATATGGACGCCGACCAAAACCGGGGTGGGTTTGTCGGCGTCGGGGGTTCCTCGATAATTCTAAATACATATCCACTTCTTTTGTTTTTGGTTAGGAATTTTCCACTTCTTTCCATTTTTGGGAGTCTTCTCTTACTCCCACCTTCTCACCATACTTCAGAGGGGCGTCAACTGTCCTCGCAACTTCATCGTAGCAACCTCTCATACCATCCTCTAGGTGGGCGGTGACAGCTTCTCTCCTTGCGTCACGTGATCACCACTCGGCCAATGATGTCCAGCCGGGCGTGTACGGTCCAGTGGGCTTTGTTTCAGGAAAAAAAAAATATCTTGCTCAAAAAAAAAAATTATCTTTTTTTTTTTCCTTTTCTTTCCTTAATCGCAGCTCTCATTTTCTCTGGCCGCCAACAGAACAATGCGACCAGTGGTGGTCATAACCCTGTTCTCATCTGGGTTTCGTCAGTCAGATTTTCGCTAATTATCAGAATGGGTGGTCAGCAAAACATCGTCCTCTCGTCTCGAAAAAAAAACATTTCTAGGTTCTAGTCATTTTTGGTGCCAATTTCTGATAACATAGTTTTATTATCACAGCCAAAGATGTCTTGTCAAAAAAAAAATCAAAAAAAACGGTCAGTTTACTTCGTGTGCGGCTTTTAGACGACAATTAATTTTTCATATCTATCCAAAGCCCTGTATTTCACCTGTTCTTTGTCAATTATCAAAATAACATTTTCAATTGGATTTTTCTTTAGCTAGTCGGTCTGTGGTTTGCTAATTAGATGTTTTCCCGCATTAATCGTTTGTTATCTATCCCCGATAACACAAGTTTGTCGCCAGAACATAGTCGATTCTCTTATCCATTTAAAATTTTTCTGCCATTGTAATGACACTTTTCGCCATTTGCTACTTATCAAAATAACATTGTCAATTGTCTCTTCAGTCGTGGGTGTTTTTTTTATCATCCACGCTTTGGGTCTTCGCCTCTCTTTTCCTTTCTTTTCTTTTTTTTTTTTCTTTTTTTTTTTCTTTTTGCCCTGGTAAATGGTGCCACACTGCGGAAAAGCTAAACGCGTTTTTACTACGGAAAACTTTTCGACTACAGATCCTTTTATATAAAATTTCAAATGTATTACTGCGCACGATCCATAAAAAACCCTAGGTTGTTTTCAGTTTGAAAAATACCTTCAATGATATTTATTCTGCAGCGAATGCATACAAAAACGCTAGTAATGGCTGCCCACAATGCATATTTATCCAATTTTTTTTTTGTCGATAAAATCCAAAAAAAGTAGAATTTATTGTTAAATTTATCAAGCCAGATTCGAATTAATCTGTACAGTTACTTATATAAATGTAAGTTATTTTTGAAATTTTTAATGCGCATAAAAAATATTACAATATTAAAAGAACCCTTTGAATGAAAACGTTGTTTTCATATTTAATTATATAATCCGTAAATAGTAAATATTTTATTGTAGTTCGTTTGAAATTTTGATAATTTTTTTTAAAACTTTGAGTTCTATTTAAATTATTGACATTATTCATAAGATTTTATTCCAGATCATCTTCATTGCCATATTCAAGTTTTTTTTGTTGTTTTATTACCTTCTGCATCATTAATTGGATATTTCAAAATAAATCATTTTAATTTAGAAAATTTTGTCCAAAATATTGTTTTAGTTCCACGTGTCTTTTAGTGTTTCAGCTGAAAATCATCACAAGATAAATTCCTTAAATATTTTCTGACAAAATATTGATTTTTCAATTTTTTAATCAATCAAACAAAGAAAATTTAACTTCAACGTTCTTTTGAAACATGAAAATGAAGATGAAATCCTTTAATAATTCCAATTAATTTCGACAAAAAATCATAATAAAATTCATTTCAGAGATATAACAGATAAAAAGAATTCTTTTTTTTTTATTTCGTTATGAAATGGTAAATATTTTTCTTGCTGCCACAATCAAAGCTGTCAAAAAGGACGAAAAATTAAAGTTATTCATTTTTAAATGGTAAATTTATATTTTGCTACCCCTCCCCTTTAGGGTTATTTCCCCCTTCACAAATTTAATTCCAGGTTTAAGAGTGGGATCTCCGATTTAATTTGCTTTTCAAAAATAAATTATATTTTATATATATAAACGGGTTCTGGGGCAAAATAGTAACCACCGGAACGAGACTCTGCCTTCGGCGGAATACTCGTCCATTAATTCCGCTCGAATTCCAGAAAGTTACACTGTTGAATCCGGATCCATACCCCAGTGCCAATTTGAAATGGTAAATATTCTGTGGCGGATCGTCTCTGTTAGTTATAGCTAATGTAATCACGTTAATGGCTTTTGAATTAGCGCCTTGGCTGGGAAACTTGACAGAGTCACTCGGTAAAAAAAATTTTTGTGCGTGGGTTTTTTGGAATGCCCAGATGTGTTTTTTGATATAAAGAAAATGATAAATTTCTCCAAAAAATATTTACTAATATGTAAGAAGAAGTAATGGGATCCGATTTATTTCTGAAAAGCACAAAATCGAATACATGAAAATATAGCGATTATAAAATTGTCAAATTTTGTGCGATTTTAAATTGTCTATTAATAGTAGTGTTGATTTATTATCAATGAATGCTTGTTGTTGTAAGAATTTGAATTTGCGTAAGTATGTATGTATGTGATTGATGATGATGAAAAATTAAAATAAATATCGCATTGAAATTGGCTCACATATCGCCTTTTTAAAATTTAGATTTATTTTTATAAATCTTCTAAATAAACATTGGAAAGTCAAAAATAAAATACAGTAATGGCGAGTCAAGGCATTTAATTGTCTTTTTTAAACAAATAGAAAAATTTATATTTGGACGCACGAAAACTAGACGTTGCAGAAAGTGGTTTAAGGTGACCATTGTAAATGTCAGGTCTCATATTCAAAAAAAAAAAAAAGAAATTATTAAAAGAAATAAAAGGAGAATAGATCGACCAAAAACGTTCTAGGAGCACAATATAGACAAATGCTAAGTTCACTTGTCTGAATGACTCTTGGAATAATAAAGAAAAAATGATTCTTCTCATGACAATTATATTACTTTACCCCAAAGAAAAAAGAATCTGATGATTTTTAACTTTAACCCTAGTCACCATAATTATCACCCCCCACTTCCGTTTGCACCATTTTAAATCGCGACAATTCGCCTGAATATTTAGAGAATTTAAATTGTTTGGAAATAATATTTAATTTATTTAATAAATCTCTTTCAGTTTTTTTGTTATTATTATTATTATTATTATATTGTTGTTGTTATTATTGTCGTTGTTATATTGTTGTTGTTATTATTAAAAAATTTATGAATAAAGTTTACTAAACATAATATTATTGTTATTACTATTATTATTATTACCATTATTATTGTTATTACTATTACTATTTTATTGTTATTACTTTTATTGTTATTAATACTATTATTATTGTTATAATTATTATTGTTATTACTATTGTTATTATTATTATAAATATTATTGTTAAAATTATTATCTATTAAGATTATTATAATTATTATTATTATTACAATTATTATTATTATTATTTATATTACTATTATTGTTATAATTATTATTATTATTATTATATTTTTATTTTTTTTTGATTTCTGGCGTTTAAACATTTCTTTCCGGGTCCCGCCCAGGGACCTAAGGTTAGAAATGGCGTCATGACACTTTTCACTGAAAAAAAAAAAAAAAAAAAAAAAAGAAAAAATTAAATAGATAAAGCCCTTCGTAAGGTGTGGGCTGTACTTGTTAAACAATTTTTTGTATCTCCTTGAGGCATGGACTTCCAGGTATCCCTTCAATTAGTCTACTGAATCTTTTCCAACCAGTCCTAGGGCTCCAACTACAACAGGGATTGTTGATGTTCCCATATGCCACATTTTCGAGATTTCTATTTCAAGGTCCTTGTACTTTGACAACTTTTTTTGAATATCTTCAAAGATACATTGCAGTCAGATAGGGACTGCCATATCAATAAGGAGGCACCGTTTTTTGTTTATGGTCTTTAATAACAATATCTGGGCAAAACTTGGCCTTTGATTGTTCTGTCAGTGTGTATTGTGTAATCCCATAGAATTTGTAACAGGTCCTATCTCCGTAACCGGGTCTGGGTGGTGTTCATACCAGTTTCTTTCAGTTTTCTTCCCAATTGTTGCAGATTTTCCCAGTGCAGATATTGGCCCCAATTTGTCATGTCAGGTTTTTTTTATTATTATTATTATTACTATTATTATTAGTAAAACTATTATTGTTATAATTATTATTATTATTATTATTGTTATTACTATTATTATTGTTGTTATGTAAAATTACTATTATTATTGTTATAATTATTATTGTTATTAATATTATGATAATTATATTATTATTATAAATATTATTGTTATTATTATTATTATTATTTTATTTTTACTATTATTGTTAATATTATTATTGTTATTACTATTATTATTACTATTATTAATATAATAAAAAAAAAAATGATTAATTCTCCATTTCAGTTTTCGTAGTTAAAATCATAAGCGGCTTTCTTTTTCCATCTCGTAAGCGACGTCCATGTGTTCAAAATGGCAACCAACACTGAAATGGATGTAGATGAAATGAAAACAAACGAGGAGAAAGCTGATTTATCTTCAGCTAAAAATGACAAAGACGGCGAAAACAATCAGATTAAGAATATCGGGTGTCCTGAGAATGAATCCGACTTCAAACGGCCGCTATTTCGGCCCATAAAATCCGAAGAAGCGGCTCCGACATCGTCTTCGTCGACAGCTAAGAAAGATAAACATGGCGATATTACAGGTGACAACGATGACAACAGTACCAATAATAACAACAACAATGATTCAACTCACAGCAAAGGCAGTAAAATTAATCCAGGATCTGGAAATTCGGGGTCTGCTCTTTCACCAGCAGAACTGGCGAAACAGATGCGATCTGCGATACCGTACAAAGAACCTACTTGGGGTGGCCTGGCTAATCGCCCTTATTCTTTTGACGTTCTCAAAAATGGTAGTATTGTTGACAACGTCGATCTAAACGACAAGTCCTACTACATTTTTGGTCGTCTTCCCACCTGCGATGTTACCCTGGAACACCCGTCTTTGTCCCGTTACCACGCTTGTATCCAGAACTGTGCCACCCCGACCGAACGCTACGAAGCTGGTTGGTATTTGTACGATTTGGACAGCACCCACGGTACTTGGATTAACAAGGTTCGAGTCCAACCGAAGGTCTACCACCGAATTCCATCAAAATTTTCATGTGATTAAAATTGAGGCAGTTTTTCTTGTTTATCCTGCAGGTATGTTCACATGTTGAGCGAATTGAATGCATTTTGTTCCATTTTTTTTTTTTTATTATTTGTAGTGGGGTGGGTGTGGGCGTTCGAACAATAAGAATAGTCGTCATAAAATTGATTTATCGATATATATATAAGAGAGAGAGAGAGACTACCTGACGATTACGTGCACTGAAAACCTATGAAACTTCTTAGTTGTGGTCGCCTAATGTTCACCCGTAATTTAGAAATATTTTAAGGGCTAAAGGATCTGCCAGTTAATAAGGCATTGAACTTTCTTTCTCTTGTGTGCCTCTGGGATGTTTATTTTTAATTATGTGTGTATATATATATATATATATATATATAAGGAAGAGGTTATAGTAGTTCCAACGAGAGAAAAGTGTGTATATTAAAAAAAAGAGAGGTACCGCAAACGTTTTTGGTTGTAATGTGGATTTTTTTTAAAAAATATTATGTTTTATTTTCCATAATTTTACTACACTGGTTTCTGGTCTGGCAACCGTCTTCAGGTAAAGGGTGGAGATTTCCACATATTATTAAAAATAATTAATTTTTTTTTTCTCCTTTGTGTTTTTCGATGTTAAATATTCTTGATATGAGACATTCTCTGTTTTTGTGTTAGTAATCCGAATGTCTTTCTTGAATTGGCTGTGAAGAGTTCTGTGCGAAGGGTCATAAAAGAATTAAGGTTGGTTCGAGAAATGATGAATTAGTTGTCAGTATCTTTTAATGTTTTAATATATATATATATATATATATACAGTCATCCCCAGACACTGTTTCACTGTATCACAGCTCATCAGTGTGGCTAGATATCTGATTACTATATATATATATATATATATATATATATATATATATATATATTTATTATTATTATTATATTTGGGTAGATGCTCTGTCTACTTATTAAACATTATATTTATTTTTGACTACTCGCCTGAATATTCGAGAAATCTTATTAGTACAATATGTGCTCTCCAGCAGCATTCAAACTTGCCTTTCCCTAAGGGGAACTACCATTAAATCTGACATGCTTTGACCTCTCAGCTACAGTGTCGGTGGATGGCCAAGCAAAATCTGAATGCCAGAGAGCACATGTTTTTCTAATAAGATTTCTAGAATACTCAGACTGGTAGACATAAATAAATATACTATTTAATAAACAAATGGAACGTCTACACAAATATGAGTATCCACAAAAAATAATGTTTTAAGTAATAAAAATCTATCACATTAATAAATAAAAATATATATATATATATATACATACACCAAACTTCAAGCATTCAGTTGGATGTCCACTCTTACACTAGAAAGACAAATTGAAAGGTCTCAACTTTGATCTGAAAACCTGGGAAGCCCAAGCATCAAACTGAAAGAAGTGATGTAAGACATGTTTCATTAAGTTCAAGGGTTTTGAAGACAGTAGACTGAAGCTCTGTGATCAGCTTCATCAAGCTCTGAAGCATAGACACCATCAGAATCCTGCTTTAATAAATTTCATCTGTCAGAGTGTTATAACTGTACCTGTGAACACTAATGGTTATATCTCAATCCTTATAAATACATTAGACACTATTGTAAGTGGGGATAATATTCTTTTTAAGTAGTCCACCACTAGCAGTGGTTTACCTACTTCATGCTGCTGGCGAGTATTGTATTTTGTTGATGTTAGAAAGATTACCATTTCATTTCCAACCTCCATTTTGGTTATTCCTCATTCAGTAACCCTTTCTAGATTATAACACTTTGTGGCTTTGTCTCCCCCAGCAAGGCTGGGCTAGTATCAAACTTAGGAAAGCACAAATGAAATATGTCTTTCCCTTACTTTATTTTCTCTACAATAGCCCCTGCGGGCATGTATAAGTGTAAAATGAAACGTGCTATCCACTGCTGACCCACATTTCTCGTTCATGATAGGAGAGTCCATCATATATAGTGTATTTGGGAAGCAATGTCTTTTATGCAGATTACATTGAAGATGACTGACAAAGCAATGCTTTTTATTATGTTTTACTTGTATTTGTACAAGAGATTTCTTTTTGGAGCATAGTGTGTAAGAACTGTCCAGAAAGGTCATCTCTTGTATGGATGCAAGAAAAATATAATATTGAAGAGCTTAATTGCTGTTTCTTTTCATTTGTCATAAATGAAACATTTCTTTTTTTAATGATATTGTTACGAGGATGCATTTCTATAATAAGGAATTCCACTGAGTTCTACTTGTTATTACAAAAAAGTTTTCATTCATGAAGTAGTTGTAAAATAGAGAAATTAGAAATAAAATGTTTGGAAGATTCTAGATCATTCTAGTATATTTGAGAAAAATCTAGAAATATGCAAATTAGATGTTAGCCCCTATAAAAATGGGATTTTGGAAAAGGGTTGTCAGTTGATGAATGAGAATTTCTGCTGTTATCAACTCCGGCTTTTGATTCAAGGACTATTATATCCATCCGAAAGAATCTCTATAAAAAGGTTGCCGACCAACCAAAACCCAAAAGAGATTTCATGGAACAGATTTGGTAAATAGAATTTTTGACTAATTTTCATGGCCCAAATTAAAATTAATATTTATTTACACACCTTTGTGGATTTCCAAATATAGCACTTAGATTACTTCACTAGCCCTAAAAAGTGATAAAGATATTTGATTTCCCTTTCCTTCTTCCTCGTAACACTTGCCAGTAACTCTGTTTTCTGTTTTGTAGGCTACAATTGTTTATCCTGTATATATTTTATGTTCTGTTTTATTAAATTAAATATTTGTTTGTGATTTAGCTCTGTGTTGTGGTAAATCATTTTTTTTCCTTTGTTACAATTATCAAGACGTAACAATATGTTCCTAATAATCTGATAATGATATGTCAAGACCCTGGCGATTATGGATTTTACCATTCTCCTATTCTCTTAATATCCGTTAATTGCTATGATTTAGAAAAGATTGCGGAGTGGTTTCCCGTTGCCTTCTCCATAGGTTTGAATTCATAGTTCCTCTCTTAGGCTGGCTTCTCTCTAAGGCCAGAGTGTCCATTCTACATGGCTGTTTAACTCTTTGCTGGAGAAAAGTGAATTATTACAAATCCAGTAACAGTTACAGCTGGAGTCATGATCACAGATATTTAGTTTTTGCGTGTCAGATCACCTGTGAACTTAAAAACTGCACTTGACATTTCTAGATTCGGAATGCACCCGTTGCATGTCCTGTTATAGACTGATGTAATTTTCATTGTGATTTTTGCAGTGAATCAATAACTTTCAGCTAAGTAGCTTTGACGGTAACATACACACCTAAAATATCGAATCTTACTGGAACCACTGCCAAAAGAAAAACAAAAAACGCAGTGACAAAATTGATTCCCATCCTTTATGAGGGAATGCATGTACAGGGAAAATCTTATCAAGGACATTTTCACCTGCTTTTGTGTGTCCAATTAAAATAAATAAAATTATGTTGCTTTTTGAATGCTATACATCATTTTGCAAAACTTCCAAGGTCTAAGTACTCTCTTTGCAAGTGTTAAATTATTATTATTTTTTTTTTTTTTATTTAAAAAAAATATATATTTTCTGCAAATGAAGAAAAGTTCAAGTGACTTATTTGGTTGACCAACTCAAGAGTTTCATGTTGAAACACTCATCAGTATCACATCTATATGATACTATGCAGGTGATTTTCAGGATTAAATTTTATTAAAAAAAAGCTTCTACTCATGTAAAATTCATACCCCCAAAATTTTCAGAATAGCTGATATGGCCAGGGAGAAGTGGTTTACAATTTACTTGTTTTTAGCATAATTTCATGTCACAATTTCACTATTAGATTTTATTTAATTTTCATTAAATGAAAATAATTTCTGTTTAAAAGGTAAGTATCACATTAAAAGATATTAAATTATATGACCCAGATTATGTTCATGTGTAGAAGTCAGGGTGGTGATTGTCAACATTGCAAATGTTTACAATTTATTTCCTTTTTCTTACCATCCTCAACAATTTTGCTGATCTCACAACAAAACAAGAAAAACAGCCAAGAATAAAACCATGTCATTACTTTTTTTTTTTTTTCCAATCAAGAATATCCATATCATTATGTATGTCAATGGTGCTCCATTGCGATAGGTAGAAACTCCCTCTAAGCAATGTAAAATATGGCCTGGATCATGACTGCCAGCATGAACATCAGACTTCAAAAATTAGTTAACCATTTAATGGTTTTAGTAAATTTATGCAGAAAAAGTAAGCATTATACCATCCAGTATAAATAAGTCAACTTTATTACATTTAAGGCTTTAGATTTTTTTCGTTTTTTTTTTTGTATAAACTTATTCTGGCATTAAATGGTTCAACTTCTGGTATGAATGTTTTATGTTTTGTACATTTTTTTTCAACAGGAAGGATTTAAAAAAAGAAAGAAAAAAAACCCCCTGGAAATGGTCTACTCATGTAATTTACACCCACCCTATAAAATTCATTTTTATTACTGCAAAAAAAAAATATGTGTAAATTACATGGGTTTTTATGGTAAATAAATAAAATAAAAAAAAACTTAATGTAGCAACTATATTGTAAATCTTGTAGAAATTTTTATTAAAGACCTGAAAGCATCCTGAATCTAATTTCATAGACGGACTCTCCGTGAATCACTGTTCATTTGTCACAAGGTGTCAGCAATTGACTGCTTATTCTTCTGAATTTATTTTTTTTTTTTTATATATGCACTTTCCATTGGTGCAAGATTTTGTTTTGTCATAGTGTATGTGTGCATACATACATAGGATATATGATAATATCTGAAACAAAAGTCATGATGATAAGACAAAATGGAAAATTTTTATTAAAGACAAGTTTTGTCAGAAAAGCATATGCTCTTTTTAGCTTCCTTAATTTAAATGAAAGAAAAACAAAACTGTCTGTGAGGAAAACATCTTGGGATCTCTGAGGATAAGTAGGTACTATAAATCAAGTTAATTACCCTAGCTTATCACCTGCTAATGTCCAGAATTCCAGACTAATTAGGAGGTAATAAGCTAGGGTAATTAATTAGATTTATGATGCCCACTTATCTTTAGAGATGCCAAGACATTTTCCTCACATACAGTTTTGTCTTTCTTTCATTTTAAACTGAGGAAGCCAAAGACAGCATATGCTTCTCCGGCAAAACTTGTCTTTAATGAAATTTTACACAAAATATACAATATAGTTGCTACTTTAAGTTTTTTTTTTTTTTTTTTTTATTATTATTATTTACCATGAAATAATTTAACAAAAAACAAAAAACCCTGGAAATGATGTTCTCATGTAATTTACACCCTTGCCCTCTAAAATTTATTTTTATTATTGCGGAAAAATATGCGTAAATTACATGGGTTTTTATTGTAGTATTTTCTCTTCTTTCTACGTGATCAAAATGGAATAGTCTATTATTTATGAGATATTGGCAAGGCATAACAGTTGTGTGAAGTAACAAAGAGAAGGAAAAGCACAATTATAATTGTGTGTGTGTGTGTGTGTGTGTGTGTGTGTGTGTGAATATCAGGCAATATAAGTTTTTTAAAGGCATGTAAGAAAATCCACAGTGGTGGAAAGGTTTAAAATGTTTTGTACTCGCTTATTTTTATTTTTTTTATTTTCTCTGGATTTCTTTTCACCCAAACAACAATTCCAGGGTCCTGATGATGACCAAGAAGAAGAGTCGGAGCTGAGTATTACTGAACTGAAGATGCAGCGAGAGAAGCATAAACGGGAAACAGAACTGTTTAGGCAGGATGATGTGGAAGAGGACCCTAACGAAGTGATCAGCAGAGATGACGGCTGCATGTGGGGAATCGGTCAGTACCTTCAGGACTTTGGTTTTTTTTTAGCTTTGTTGCATGCATGTTCTCTCCACGTTGTCTTTTACGACATCAGATTTTATTAGGCAGTTCAATGTTTTCCAAAATGGGTATTAAGCACTTTCTGTTTGAATTTTTTTGAGGAGAATTTACCATTATTTACAGTCAGACTAAGGTCCTCATCTTTGTTGTTGTTATCACAAGATTTCAGTCACTGTGCACTCTGGCCTTCTTCTTAAAGAGTCTGCTCATCCAGCTAATCTTTCGGGAATTTTGTACAGAACCCTATTGAATCGCCAGATGTAGATTCTTCTTGTTCTCATGTCCATGTCTCGAAACCCCCCCAACCCCCATTACTGCTCGGCTGTTTTCATTACTTCTCGGTTATTTATTTTTTTTCATTGCCTGTCAGTTATCTGGATCAACAGAATCCAGTAAGATAGGTCTTAACCCCAGGATTATCCCACAGGATAATAGCCGAGAGGATTAATGTGCTAGTTTGTGAATTTGGTGGCAAAGTAATTGTGAGTTCAATCTCTGTGCTGGCTCCTTCAACTTGGTAATCTTAGCCATGCTAGCCATTTCAAAATCGGTAACTCAAGCCATGTCTGTTCTTTTAGTAGCTTTTAGTAAATTTTGTCTTTTTGCTATCTCTCCTAATCTCCATTCTGCCAACCATTTACACAAGCTCGGTCTTCTTCTTACTCTATGTGCCACCTTTGAGGACATGGACGATCATGGCTCTCCACAACATCCTCTTCTTTGTAGCTCTTAATAATGTTTGTATTTTCGCTATCTCTTCTACTCCCTGCTCTGCCAACCATTTACATAAGCTTCTTAAGTAGGTTACGCGTTTCCTTTTTTGCTGACCCTCTTCTCTTCAGGCTTATGACAACATCACATTGAATCACTGGTTCTTGCATGAATCACTGAGTGTTAAGCAGCATTGAGCCTGGTTAGTACCTAAATGAGTTACCGCTTTGGAGTAGCAGGTACTGTAAGCTTAGATGTGTAGATGGGGTAAGGGATAATGCACAGTGGGTAGGGGAGCAATTTTTTTTTTTTTAAATTTGGGCATAACTTGACTTTAACTTATAGTCTGATAGTGATTTGAGGCTCATAATAAGCGTTTTGGTGAGGCCTTTACATTAAAATAAAAATTTTTGAAAAAAATGAAAATTTGGTGGTCTGGAACCGAATTTCCATATTTGGGCATTGAGGTCCAGAAACACATAATTTGATGCCATTCGACTTATGGAAAAGTTATAAACATCAGTGAGTGCTCATTGGAAGCATTTTGAGGAGGCCTTTACAAGAAAATAAGAAATTTATAAAAAACAATAAAAATTCGAGGGTCTGGGACTGGATTTCCATATTTGAGCATTAACACCCGAAAACACATATTTGGGTGCCATTCAACTTTGGGAAAAGCTATAGACATCAGTGAGGGCTTGTTAGAAGTGTCTTGATGAGGTGTTTACAGCAAAATAAGAATATTCCAAAAAAGACAAATCTTTGGGGGTCTGGGACTGGATTTCCATATTTGGGCATTAAGGCCCAAAGACACATAATTGGGTGCCATTTAACTTTGGGAAAAGACGCAGACATTAGTGAGGGCTTGTTAGATCCGTTTTTTAAGAGTGCTTTACAACAGAGTAATAAATTTTCCAAAAAGATGAAAATTTGGGGTTTGGGACTGAATTTTCACATTTGGGCAGACAGATATTTCCATACTCATCATGTTTGATAGAATAATTAAGACAGAAATAAAGAATTCTTTTTTTTTTTTTTTTTTGAAGTTTATTCAAAGTATCTTCAAGTGGAACCAACCATACTTTTTGAAGTGCCGAATACAGAGACCTGATGCACTGTGTGCCACCAGGTCTCCAAATGACCCTCCGCAGGTTTTGAATTCAGAGTTGTCTCTCTCCTAGACAAGTTGCCATCCAGGGCTATAGAACCCAGTCTGTCCTTCTATTTACCCATAGCTGGTGGAGAGAAGAAGAGGATTCATAAAAGAAGGGTATTAGCATATAAGTGAATAATGGATTCGTGATTGATTCTAATGTTTACCCCCCCCCCGTGCCTTTATATATAATATATATATATATATATATATAATTCCATAATTCTATAACAATCATTAAAAAAAAAAAAAACTTGAGACATGACTGATGAGGAAGATTTTTTTTTTTTCCCAAGTAGGTTGCCATTTCTTTCTGTGGTAGACCAGTTGCTGTCCAAACCTATAGAACCTGGTCTGTCCAGCTATTTACCTGTAGCTCAAATAGAAGAAGAGGATTCATATCTTTTCAGGAAAACAAGGGTAAGAATATTTAAAATGGCATTTTCTTCCTAGTGAATGTTAATGAAATTATTATCTTCGAGATAGATTTTCCATGTTAGTTCTGGATCTCCATTTCCTCAATCTGAGCTGAATTCATTACCCCCATTCCTGTTAATCCATGCCTCATATATATATATATATATATATATATATATATATATATATATTCTATGACAATTGGAGGTAAAAAAAAAAAAAACTTGATGTCAATTTAAAGTTGGGGGGAATCCATTACATTTGTGTAATTTGGGAAAGGTATGATCTCTCGGACAAAAATAGAGAGAAAAATTTTAGCATTGGGACTCTCAGAATAATAATAATATATGCAAAGAATTTAAAAAACTGTTTATTGATAATGTTAAATAAAATTTGAAAAACAATATAATCCTTGGAAACATTTATTCTTCCTTGATCCATGGCAACCAGTCCTAGTTACACAGAAAGAAATGGAGTTTATAAAATCTTTCTCTTGAAACAGTCTTTCAGGAAAACAGGTCAAAAAAGAGTCCAATAACTGTTCCACTGTTTTTGCAAAAATTCCGCAGTTTCGTTCCTAAATATAAACTTTTAAACGTCAAAATCGTTTATGTTATTATTTAGATGAAAGTTTTTTTAATTATTTTTGAAATTTTTTAATATTTTCTAAACGTTCGAGATTTGGTTAAAATCTTATTTTGTTTTACGTCATCTCTCGACATTAAAATAATATGTTTTTTTTTTTGCGTTTTTTTACATGTTGAAAACATATTGATTTGGAAATTCTTGTAAAAATAAAATAATTGTTCTATCTTAATGAAATTTTCAGGACTTATTCACAAATGAATGAAATTATTTTTTGTGATTTATGAATTTTGGTAAAAAAATATTTTTTAAAATATTTACCCACACCTTAATTTAATGATTTTCTTAAGTTTTGGTTCCTTTTTTTTTTTGTCATTTTCGAAATGGTAAATAATCTACTTTTTTTTCAAAATTTGAGCTATTTAACTGAAAATCTGCTCTGAATTGAAAAATAATGAATCAGATAAAACTATGATTCGACTTTTAGAAAATGTTTTTGTAAATAAAAAATAGGTTTAGGATTATTGTCTGAAGAAATAATTTTTTCTGATGAATAATTAATTTTACAAGAATTTTTTTTCGTTTTTTTTTTAATTTTAATTATAATAATTTATAATAGTTTTTAAATCGTGTAAACTCTGTATTATGGAAAGGGTTCCATCGATATTTTATGTATTAATTAAGTAGAAAAAAATTTACTTATCCAAAATTTTTAAGTTTAATTTTTTATTGACCCTTTTTTTAAAAAATTTTTTATGTTGTATTTTTTTCCTTAATACATTCCTTATTTCCATTCCCATGATATACAAAATTGCCATTATTATAACAAACAGAAAATAAGGGTTTTGTCCCTTTCAAAAAATTTTTTATTTTTTAACAGATTGTACATTTTCAATCAGTTTAAAAAGTGTAAACTTTAAATTTTAAATTATTTTTTTTTTTTTAAACCTATTTCACTAAATAATTTTATTTTTCTGTATTGTATTTCCATTTCAGCCTCATACTCAAATAGAATAATTTTTTTAAAAATCAGACTTAAAAATTATATCATTTATTTATCATCAGTAGTAGCTGTCATCGGTTCAAAAAAAATCAATCATTAAACGTTGAACAACTGAACAGGACCGCTCGTTAATAATTGGTTGTATATTATTTTTTTTATGCTATAAGTAAAAAAATATTTCCCCAACAAATTTTTTAATTTTACAAATATCGGTCAGTTTTTTTAAATATTTTAAAATCGATAAATTTGTCTATTTCTTAAAAATTAAAAAATGGCCGTTTTAAGAAAATTTTAAAATTTTGAAAAAATTTGCAATCAAATTTATATAGTTTCTATCTCTGAAATATTTGTTGTTTAATTAATAGAAATCGTAAATTTAATTATTAAACTTTCAATTAAAGCTAAAATAAAATCTTCAAGAATGTTTTTTCGTTTTAAAAAAATAATTTTAAACAATAGCTATAGAAAATTTATGCGAAAAAAGTGGACATACTTAATAATACCCTTGGGAAAGGTATAAATTCTCTTCTCCCCCCCAACCCCAGCAATGGGTAAATAGCAGGACAGACCGGGTTCTATAGCCTTGGATAGCAACTGGTCTACTGTAGAAAGAAATGGCAACCTAATTGTTGAAACTTGACTAATGCATGGAATAATAATGCAACACAAAAGGTACTTAGAACAAAATGTATTGAAACAAGAAAGTGTACACAATATTTACATATAGTCTTTTGTATATTCCTGGTAAGACCGTTCCTGGAGAATGTGTTGACTGAGTCGCAGTCGGGCAGAGTCTCTGGTTGAATCTCTTGATTCCTCCCTCTCTTCCCGGTACCAACCATATTTATATGGTCGGTACTCCACTATGCAAATTAGGTGGATCCTACCACAACACTAATGCAGGGTGGGGGGGAATCTGCTTTGTCAGTCATGTATTGAAAGATACATGATCGCCTCAGCATGTATCACGCATAGCACATAACTGACTCAGTGTGTATATTATCAATAAAATGATTAAAAATTGGTGATATTAAAATATGTTCCAGGAGCCATATGATCCCTCTTCCTATTTATTGATGTGGTGGGGGTAAAATAACCTTTTGTTTGAAGTGGTGTGGAATGTCAATGTCTTGATTATGTCATTATTTTCTCTTAAGGCTACACATAATATCCATTTTAGTTGTTGCTGTCAACAAGTGATGTGGTTTCTATTATTTGGTATAGTTCTTTGTGATTCTGTAGCATGCTTCACTCGTCACTCAAAGCCATTTTTAATCACTGATCTTAGAAAGCAGTTGTATACAGCTGACAGCTTAGACATTTCTGAACGGGTTTAGCACCATGCACGCCATCCATATGAAAGTCTCGATCTGACAAGGCTTTTTAAGATAGGGTTTGGTCATTTTAAGATTTTTTTTATTGCACACACACACACACACACACACACAAAATGAACTCTGAAGTTAAGCAATTTTATAAAAAAGAGAAAATTTCTTAAAAATGTTTTTATTTTATCTCTTTTTGTCATATTTTCATATTTTTTTCATCTTTTAGATATGGCTAATGTTACTGATGATAATCAAGAAAACCCTTTTGCCCAGGGTTTAGATTTAGACGAATCATTTTACATTGATGATCCCAAAAATAGTTTTAAAGAATTTACCTTGAAATTTCTTTCATTTAATCAAACAGCCATTCTCTTTTTATTATGCAGTTTTATATTTTTTTTCTATTTTTGTTTTTATTGTTCTTTTTTTCTCTATTTGTTTTTTTTGTTCTTTTTTCTTTATTGTTTTTTTGTTCTTTTTTTCTCTATTTGTTTTTTTTGTTCTTTTTTTCTTTATTGTTTTTTTTTTTTTTGTTCTTTTTTGGTTATGAAAAATTTGTATGAAAGATTTTTGATCATTTTATCAGCTTTTCAAAAACATTTCGTAAATGACCTTTTTTCCAAGCAGAATTACATTGCGATTAAGCACAATTAGTGCACTGTGTTTGCCTGAGATTCTTGGATTTTTTTTAAATTAGTGAAAACATTTAATATAACTCATACAGTTTTTTAAGTTTTTCAAAATTTAAAGGGACTCTTTCATGTTTGTTTGTGTGTGTATATATATATATATATATATATATATATATATATATATATATATATATATTTCAGAACACAATTAATGAACATACTTAAACAAATTCTCGTTTTGAAAATGTGGTCATTTAAAGAACATTTTATAAAACTCGTTTTTTTGCTCTTTTTTATTTATTTACAATTCAAGATGAATTCTTTAGAACGTTCTTATGAATAAAAACGAATTGAACAATATGAAATTTCATACTTCTTTGTTCACATTTATAGCTATAAACTTAAACTGCCAAAGTTTTTTAAAAAATTAAAAATAAAATTTTTGTAAATTTTAAAAGGTTTGTTAAAAATAGAGATCAGAAAAATATAATATATTTAAATACAGTTCCCGAGATTGAATCTTTTTTTCTCAAAAATTTTTTTATTTGATGAATTATATAAATTGCCCATTTACTTTTCAAAAAAAATGAAAATTTATAAAAAATTCTATTTCATTTAATAAAATACATAGAAAAAAATAAATTATATATGACAATCTAAAAAAATGTTTTATTCTTTTCATTTATTTTTTTGATTTTTTTCCTTTTTTGATTACTGTCTACACATCAATTTCTCCATTTTATTGATTTCCATTTTTTTTCATTTATGTTTTCTTTTTGATCAAACGTTAATTTTTCTCTTGGATGCCCCATTTTTTCATTATTTTTTTATTTCAAATTTTTAAAAAATAATGACAGTGATCTTCTTGTCTCTTTTCTAGGATTCTTCAAAAAAATATAAAAATGAAGAAAACCATTCTTAAATGTAAATTTTGATTTTTTTTCTAACTTAATTTTATGTATAAAAAGTAATTTTTATTGAAAAATATATTTTCTTTCATACTATCATAAAATTGTATTTAAATGTATATAGTACGGAGTAAATTTAAGATAAATAAGATGTCACTAAATTAAAAGAAAGATAGATATTGAAATTAACAAAGAAATATGTATCAGATGTCTTTTTCAATCAAACTTTTTCTTGTTTTAATAAAGGAACATACGTTATTTATGCTTATAAATAATTATTATAAAATACATTTTATTTTTTCAGGTTGGTTAATTGTTTTTATATTTGAAATTTATTTTTTTTTTTAATCCCCTTTTTGTTTCAGATTTTTCCTTTTTTTTTATATTTTATAAGAAAGAAAGAAAAAAAAATTCATTAATTAGGATTTGTAATCTGGCATAAAAAAGTGATTTTGTTTTATTTTCAAAAAATTGATTGAATTTAAAAAAGATTTCATTCCAAATGATCGTGGCATTTTTTTTTTGATGTTACATTCAAAATCCAACGTCAAAAAAAGTTAAATTCAAAAATCATAAAATACAGCAGAAAAACTAATTTAAAACTTTATTTGATTTTCCGGATTAATTTTATTTTTGTAAATTAATTTTATTTTTTTTTTTTATTTGATAAAGATGATATGAAATTTTCAGAAAAATTTAATTCATATTTAAAGATTTGTTATGAAAATTTAAATACATCCGCGTCCTTAGATAGATATATCTTCAATTTGATAAATGAGATTTTTAAACAAATTTGATTACAAATGCTGAACACAATATCTAAAGTTATTGAAAAACAATAGAGTTTAATGGTGAATAAAACTTTTTTTAAATTTGAAATTCATCCAGATAAATAAATTAAATTTTTCAGATAAATAAATCCAATACAATTAATAACGATTAATATTGATTTAAAAAAATATCATTTTAAATATAGATAAAACGATTCTTTTATGAATGTTAAAAACAATTTTGTTTTAATTTTTTCAAAAAATTAAATCAAACAAAGTAAAATTTTTGAATTCAAAATCTTCCTTTGACTATTTAATTCAAAATTAAAATTGAAAATATAATGGTTTTAAATCACCCAAGGGATCGTTAGATAATAATTTTCTTTAAACCAAGGAAATAAAACTGACATTTTGTTCCACAAATTCCATAGAATTCCTGAAAAAAATTTTTATTTGATAAAACTTCTTTTCGGAAATAATAAGAACACAGAAGTTTCAGTATGACAGATATATTATATATCTATATATTCTTAACATAACATTTAAATATATAGACAAGATGGATTTGAGAAAATATAATTAAAAAACAAGATTATATCAATAGATTTTTTTTTATTTATTTTCAAAATATTTAACAAAATATGTTAATTTGATTTATAAAATTTCATATGAAAAATAAGTTTATTTTTTTATGTTTGAAACTTGACTAATGCATGGAATAATAATGCAACACAAAATGTACTTAGAACAAAATGTATTGAAACAAGAAAGTGTACACAATATTTACATATAGTCTTTTGTATATTCCTGGTAAGACCGTTCCTGGAGAATGTGTTGACTGAGTCGCAGTCGGGCAGAGTCTCTGGTTGAATCTCTTGATTCCTCCTCTCTTCCCGGTACCAACCATATTTATATGGTCGGTACTCCACTATGCAAATTAGGTGGATCCTACCACAACAGTATCAAGGATAAATTGTCAAAACAAATTCATTTACATGTGTTATAGAAGGATTTAAACAAAAAATTAAAAGTTATTTTCAAACATATAATTTTGGTTGTTTTTTTATTGAAGTTCACTCCCAAAATTTAAAAGGATATTTTTTTTAATGAAAAAAATTCTAAACAAATGTTTCTTCCCGGTTTAAAATATTCAAACATGTAAAGGGTAACATTCAACTTTTAAAGTTGGAAAATTTTTAACAATTGAATTGTAAATTTAAAAGAATGGAATTTCTGCAAATATTTATATTTTTTATTCTCTAAATTGTTCTTATATTCAAATTTCTGATATGAAATTTTCATGATTTATCTATCCTAAAAGGAAACATAAAATTTAAAAACGTCTTATGAAAAAAAAAAAAAAAAAAAAAACCCGTTTAAAATGGATTCAATTATTTTTTTTCTTTAAATGGAATTTGGAGAATATATTTTCATATAGTTTTCTATTGTTAAAAATTTCCTGAACAATTTCAAAAAATTTAAATTCAACTTGAATTTTTAAATAAAATATATATATTAAATTATCTCTATTTATATTTAACGGTTTTATTACATTTTTTCTTATTTTTTGATGTTGATGTTTTTCTTTTTTGAAAGAAATAGAAAAAATTATAATAAATTTTTTTTTAATTATAATGAAAAGCAAAAAGAAAAAGAAAAATAAGACCTAAGATTTTAACGTAATTTCATTAACATTTTTGAAATAAATTTATTCTTAAAAAAAAAATTTTTTTTTCATTCTTGTTTGAATTTTATCATTTTTTTTTTTTATATATAATATTTTATAAATGAAAAAAAAAAAAATCAATCAACAGTCTTTGTATTAAAATTAATTTATTTTTTTTCCTTCTTTTTAATATCCTGTTTATATAAATATAATTTTTCATATTTAAATAAATAAAAAATAATACATAAATTGCTTAAATTAAAAATTTACCGAGAGCAAATGTTTTTATAACAAATTAAAAAGAAAAGATGAAATATGTATAATATTTATTTTTACATTTTCTCTGCAAATTATTCTATTTGAAAAAAAAACATTCTGAATTTATATTTTCATTCATTGTCCTTTTAAAATTTTTTCAAAATATTATATAACAGCTATATAGTTTAATTTATCGATAAATTTTTAATATGGAATGTGATCTTTGATTTTTTGTGTAAATGAGATTACTAAACATTTGAATTTTGAAGTCTAATTTTATTCATTTTTGTGTAAAATTTTTTTAAAAAGGATTAAAAAATTTTTTATTCTTAAAAAAACTGGATTTATTTGAATAAATAAACATTTTTTTCCATTCTTTTGTAAATTCTATCATTGTTTAAAACATTAATTTATATATTTGAAATTCTTTCGTTTAAATAAACACTAAATTTTTTGGTTATTTTTGGTAAAAAATTTTTAAAATAATTTTTCCTTTATTTAAATAACTCATCGCGTCCAAATTTTTTTAAATAATTTAGTTTCAAAAAAATCATCAATCAATTTATCTAAATGTTTATTTTGAATTTATATTAAATAAAAATAAAATGAAACAGAAATTTCTTTAAACTATTAAATCATTTCATCTTCTCATATCTTTTATTTTTCCATATTGGCGAAATATCAAAAAAATATTTAAATAAATGATTCAGTTTTTTTTTAAATGGACATCAATTGTAAATTTTTTCTGAAAATTTTATCAATTTGCTTTGAAATTTTTATTATTGAAATGGATTACAAAAATGAAAAAATCAATAAATATTTGAAGTTTTAAAAAATTTTGCTCAAAAATCTATCTCTTTAAATAAAATAAAAATATTTTAACAATATTAGTATTATTATTTGAACAGAAAATTGAATTGCTTTGTTGTAAATTTTAAGCAAAGAATGACCTTAAAAATTGCTATAACTTGCATTATTTAAAAAATTAGATTTTTTAATTTTTTATGATTCATAGATTTTCAATTTTAGGATTTTGTTTAAATGATAAATATTTTAATAGCTATTCTAAAGTAATTTTCAATTCT